TCTTCTTCTTCTTCTTCTTCTTCTTCTTCTTCTTCTTCTTCTTCTTCTTCTTCTTCTTCTTCTTCTTCTTCTTCTTCTTCTTCTTCTTCTTCTTCTTCTTCTTCTTCTTCTCCCTTTAGAGATTACCTGCAAGTATTGTATGAATAAGGAAAGGCTTGATGGCACTTTAAACTGCTTATCAGATGAAAGCAGGAGATAAAACTTGCCTACACAGCACACTCTTAATTTTGTAAAATGTACATGTATGCCTAGGAGAAAGGCAGAGGGGAAACATGTCAACATGTCCACAAACACTGCTCTTCAGGTGCTGAGCAAAGTTGCTAACTGTTACACATGTGACTCCAACAGGCAGAAAGAACAGCAAATGAAGTTCGCTGTGCAGGCCCAGAAAGGCTCACTGATTGGGCCTGAACCTTGGTTTTGGTACTCAGGTGCTATGAAGCTGAGTTAAACTGCTTATCTTCTCTGATCCTGTTCTACAAATATAGCTGATAGACCAGGCATGGTGGGGCACACCTTTAATCCCTGCACTTGGGAGGCAGAGGCAGGTGGATCTCTGAGTTCGAGGGCAGCCTGGTCTATGTAGTGAGATCCATGCCAGCCAGGGCTACATAGTGAGACCTTGTTTCAGAAACAAACAAACCCCAAAACAAAAACCAACCTCAAAATAAAACCAGCCCCCACCCAAAGCAAGGCTGGTAATCAGAACTTTTCTGGGGTTTTAGTGAGAACACCACAGATAGGAAGTGCCCCGTTGGTGCCAGTCTTCATTGGCAGGCCTGAGGGTGAGTCTATGCCCCAGGTGCAGACTCCATATCAGTGCCACACCACCTGGGGGCAAGATGGTTTGTGTTCTTTTCTATCTGGACCTTACATTTATAAAAATCTGAAGCTAAGAGATCTTATTCATTTGATCTGGTTGTATTATTTTTGCTTGGCTTGAGGCTGTGATAAATACCATTAAGATACTCAAGTGTCTTCAAGTTACTGTTCTTTGTAAGACTTCAACAAAGCTAGGTTATGTTGTCACATTCCTATAGTACTCTGCAGTTGGGATGCTGAGGCAGAAGGTTTGCAAGTTTGAAGAGATCCTGGGGTATATAGTGAGACACTGTCTCAAAAAAAAAAAAAAAAAACCAATAAAAGTTCAACAAAAGAGACAGCATTTGGAAAGGAAGAAAGTACAGATCAAGTAGGCAAAGGTCACAACTGATGTTGTAAAAAAAAACTAACCAAAGGATATCATGCAAGGGTTATCTTGCATAAATGGATATCCATAAATGGATACTGGATGACAGAAGAAAACTTAAGTCCTTACCTTGGCCTGTCGGGTTTGAAAGGTTTCCTATGTGTTGTAAATAACTGGAGTTCGGATCAGCTGATGTGAATAAAGCATATTCCCTACAGCATAAGCAAAAACAAGAACCACAGCTTAGAAAAATCAAACTAGATAAACTATCAAGGACTGGGGAAGAGGGGGCTGGAGAGATTGCTCAGTGGTTAAGAACACTGGTTGTTCTTGCAGAAGACCCAGGTTCGAATCCCAGCACTCACACGGCAGCTAACAACTGTCTGTACTCCAGTCCCAGGGGATCCGACAGCCTCTTCTGTCCTCTTCAGGCATTGCACAACATGGGTGCACTCACCTACATGCAGGCAATACACACATATACATCAAATAAAAATAATAAATAAAATATTTTTTAAAAAAGAATTGGGGATGAGTGGTAAATAGTTCTTCATCCTAACAACAAAATTCATCCTTTGGAGTGAGGGAGAAACACAGCTAGCAATGAACAGGTCACACATCTGATTTATGCTACTGATCCAGGAAAAAATCTCAAGCAGGACCATGATGATGTGCGCAGTGGTAAGTTTCCACGTTGTCTTAAGTTCCACGGGCCTCAGAGTGACTTCAGAGGTGGCAGTGCCACTAGTGGTCAACACTTCATAGTTTCAGACTCCAGATAAAGCTCACTCTTGTTGAGTATGTAAGCATGCTTTATTCAATCTCTTCCTGCTTTAGAATATGCAAAATGCTCTGGGTTTCTTTTTGCCCTGAGCTCTGAGAAGACAGGCAGTCAGACTACTCAGGGCCCTTCTGTACCACTGGAATACTTTTCTTTATTTTCGAGACACTGTCTTGCTATTATGTAGCCCAGGCTGGCCTGGAACCTGCAGTCTTCCTACCACAGTCTCCTAAGATTCCAGGAGTGTAAAACTAAACCACAGTTATTGTGTGTGTTTGTGTGTGTGTGTGTGTGTGTGTGTGTGTGTACATGTGTGCATGTGATGTTAATGCAGCATCTTCCCCCATCTCTCTTTATTTACTGAGGCAGGGTCTCTCACTGAATCAAGAGCTCACCAGGAAATACCGTACAGGGGATCAAACCCAGGGCCTCATGCATGCTAGGCAAGCATTCCAACAACTGGACTATATCCTCAGCCTCTATCACCATGTTTTCTATTTCATTACTTTTACTCAATGAAAATAAACAAACAAAAATCATCCATTCATTCAAAACTTGTAGTAGAGCTCAGCTTAAACATACCTTGGTATTGGCTGCTAAATAAACAGCATGCTCCATGGAGATGCCATCACACGTGGATAGAAAATAGTGCAGTTGGGAACAGTTTGGAACATGGCCAAGTCCTCCAAGGTGATGTGGTAGGGGCTGTCATCAACTGAGAAAGTCACAGGCCAACATGAGCAGAACTGCAGCAGGAACCCAGCCTCTACTCCTTCACCGCTTTTGAAAGGCAGTGACTTATTTCTATAGGGCATCCTGAACTACAGCAAAATCCTACAAGCTTCAACCCTTGTAATTTATTGTGATTTACATTGAGTACATATCTATATTCTTCTAAAGGTCACTAAAATACTCTGGGTTAGGCTAGCAAATGAGTTTTCAGGTTAGTAATCTGACCCCTCTGCTGTCTGGCCACTCAGTACCACTGTCCAAGTTGATTTGATGTTCTCCTCCTTGAGTATCAGTGGCCTGAGTCAGCTTTACCCAGCCACTGACCGTGTGTACCCTAGTCTCTGTAAGAGCATCCTGAGGTTTTGTCCTTCTGGTTGGTTGTCTACCTTCTTTTCCTCAAGAAGTTGGATTTTTCCCAGATTGAATTGTCTTATTTTGTCAGGCCTTTCATTTAGTAATGTATTTTTGGGACACCCTAGGGTGCGCTGTTGTAACTAACAGTTCCTTGGGATATATAGGATTAGTGTACAGAAATCACAATATCTATATACAGAGAGACAGCTTACCTCTTCTAGGTTGGGAAAAGGACTTTGCTGTGTACACTGTGTTGCCTAGGACAATTCAGAAGCCTAGATCTTCTCCAGATATCCAAGTTAGGCTATATGACCACACAGGGCACAGAAAACTATTTTGGGGTTTGTGCTGTCCTTATTCATACTTGGTATACAGTAAGTCTTAGAAAAGTCCTCCAGACAGAGTAGGCAATTTATAGTAACATCAAGGGATGTGTCTCAAAGACTGGTATGCAGGGTATCTGAAACATCTAAACCAGGGTAGGACTTTTCAAAAACAAATCCCCATGGTGAAAACTTAAGTAAACGCAAGGTCTAAGTAAAAGCTATCACAATGGTGGTGTTTGGAATGCATACCAGTGGATACCCCACAATGGGTACCAGTGAGATTGACGTTGATTTGAGAGATGGCTCCCATGCGAATCTGATCAAATGCTCGTGTGAAAAGGCAGCAAAGGTGCAGGCAAAAGCAATGGTCGGTCACGGGTGGCACAGAACAGCCCTGGATTTTCCTTCATCCTCTCTTGCATGTTAGAACACATGATATAGACCACTCTGCACATGGTGGACTGCTGTCAGCCCTAGCACTTCTCCTTTCTGTGCTCTTCCTTGAACCTCTCTTCCCCACCCCAGGTACACCCTTGCTTCACAGTTTATAGGGACCAAGGGAGGAAATGGAGTGTCATCTGCCTGCCCACTTCTTGCTCTCTGCTCTGTCACCAACCTGCCTCTGTCTGTGGACTGTCTGCCCACTGCTCGTCCTGGATCCCATCCTTCTCTTTCTTACTAGATGGATCTCTAACCCTGAAATGACCCCATTCATCAGTTTCTCCATTTCTCTTAAATCATCCTATTACCATTCAAATAAGTATCAACACCTTCCTCTCAACTCTGCATTCCACCTCGTCCTTCCTTCCAGAGACTGTCTCTAATCACTCCTCCTTACAGAAAACTTAAAAAGTCATCTAGTCACTGCCCCTACTTTCTCATTTTCTATTTTCTCCTCAGCCTACTTCATCTAGGCCTTCATTCCTATAAGGAACCCCCAGACTACAAATGTTCCAAGAGGCCGCATGGCCTTGGATGGCATCTCACCTGACCTTTCCTTAGTATTCACAAGTTACACGCTTCTGGCTTGAGGCCCATCCCGCTCCAGCTTTCTGTGATATTGTATCAGGACCAGTCCTGCTGCCTCGCTGGAGGTGGAAGAGTGCAGCTCTAGCTGAGGGGTAGCTGTAGGGAGTTCTACAGGCTCTGTTCTCATTCTTCCTCATTGGCCATTGGGTTTGGGAGGCTGTGTTTGGTCTAACGCTGCTGTGATGTGCACACTGTCAGTGGCCTGCACTTTATATTTCTATTCTTTACCTCGTCTTGGCTCTCCAGGCTCATAGACTTCGGTAGACATGACAATCTCTGGGAGTAAACAAGAACTTTCCAAGAAAGATGGTGGCTGTGGCCGGCTCCAAAATCAAGATGCTTAAATGTTTATCAACTTGGTTCTACATTCATCCACCAGACAAATGGCCCATAGCCTCCTCTCCCACTGTCTCCCTACCAATCACCTTCCAGCAAACCTCACTAAAAGGCGTGTTAGCATGCACCTTACTCTTATAGTAGGTGGCATTCTGGAGTATAAAACTTCCAGGTCAAAAAACTGAAAATTTGAAACAGTCATGCTGAGCCAGGCATGATGACTCATGCTTGTAATCCCGGCGCTTGGGAGGTAAAGGCAGAAAGATCAAGAGTTCAAGGTGCATTTTCAGCTACATAGCAAGTTCCTAGGGGGAAGTCTACTAGAGGCAAGCCCAAGGGACACGGCTGTTGACTGAAGGAATCAATGAAGCAATCATTCTAGTAAGGTTTTTGATAGGAAAGTCAGGGGCTGTAGAGATGGCTCAGTGGTTAAGAACACTGGTGGTTCTTGCAGAAGACCCGGGTTCGAATCCCAGCACCCACATGGCAGCTAACAACTGTCTATAACTCCAGTCCCAGGGGATCCGACAGCCTCGTTTGACCTCCGAGGGCATTGCACGACACAGGTGCACTTACCTACATGCAGGCAATACACACATACGCATAAAATAAAAAATAAAATTAAAAAAAGAAGTTTTAAGAAAGTCAATTTACAAATTAAGGACTGTATTTCTTTCTTTGAAAATGTACAGAACTGCTGTGGGTGTAGCTCAGTTGTAGAGCACTTGCCTTGTATGTGCCACGCCCTGGGTCCAATCCATAGCACAATAAGGGCAAAATGAAAATAACTTAGTAAGAGCCACAGACTAGCACGCATATTCTTACAATGTTGATGGCCTATTGCTTAACAGATATGCTTAAAGTTGTCTGGGAATGCTCATCTAAGCAGGGCTGATGCTCAACTCAAGCCAACTGGCACTGTGAGGGGAATGCCAGTTCATTGGCAGTTCTTTCCAGTTTTCAGAAAAAGATCTAGAAATTTGGATTCTACATAAAAATGTGTTTTTTAAGTACTGGCAACCAATTTCCTAAAAATTTAAATACTATGTGTTTCAAAATATAGTCACATGAGATCTGCTGGCTCCGTTTCCTGATTAGTAGAAAACTATTATACTCTTCAGAGTTGTTTTTAGCCTCTGCAATGTAAAGACAGGAGCCAGGTATCACTCTTTACATGGGCATGTAGCTTTAGAGTTCCAGAACTGGAATTAACTTGTTCTCTTGAGAAGGGTGCATGTGCACGAGACACTCCCTCACAGTGTCACTGTGGGTAGGGATGCAGGCACAGAGAAGCAAGCAGCTTTGCTCAAGGTGTCAGCTCGAACTATGGTATTCTTTTTGAAAACTTTCTGGCAATTTCTAACTATATTCTAAAGGCTACAGTGAGAGCAACATTTCCATTTCTGCATTACACCCTGTACTCAAGTAGGAAGATATAAACCACATTTCTGGTAGCTCTTCAAACTGTTTGTCCCTGAGTGGCTATGGGATTGCCTAGTTATAGGCTGGATGGGACATAAAGGGTTACTAGGGAGCTCAGGACATTTCAAGCCTAGAGCCTTCAGCCTAGTGCTCTTATTTATGTGAATACGGTGGCCAGAGAGTGTTGCGGACTATACCATTCTCCTTCTAGCAGATGTAGAAACTACACTAACTTTAGGTATCTATTTGCCTCTTATTTCCCTGGAGTTTTTCTAAGCAACGCCTTTCATAAACGACTGATGGCTAACTAGAAGACCTAAAGGCCCTGCACAGTACACTTACTATATTTTGTCCAGCAACAAAGCACTCAATGAATTGACCGGGGTGCTCTTTCTTGAATATCTCAGCAAAGTTGGAGTTCTTGGGGTCACCATTCAGCATAATGACTGTCATTTGCATGGCTCAGTCCAGCCAGCGATAAACCACATGCTTTCTGAGTAGACACCTAGAACAAAGAGTCAAGTGTAAGTGTTCTTTGGACCACACTCGGAAGGAAGTTACTACTTTTTTAAAAAAAATATTTTTTATTCATTATTTTTATTTTATGTGTATGCGTATATTGCCTGCATGTAGGTAAGTGCACCTGTGTTGTGCAATGCCCGCAGAGGACAGAAGAGGCCATCAGATCCTCTGGAACTGGAGTTACGGACAGTTAGCTGCCATGTGGGTGCTGGGATTTGAACCCAGGTCTTCTGCAAGAACAGCCAGTGCTCTTAACCGCTGAGCCATCTCTCCAACCCCTGGAAGTTACTACTTTACAGAATTATAAACTGTTATCTAGAATCATACACATGGAATGCTAGCCAATCTTAAAAACCATATTTAGTTCACTGAGGATCCATTTCTCAAAAATATGTCTCACTCATGGTTAATATACTCAGCTTTTTCTTGAACTGTGCTACTTTTAATTAATACATCCCTAACTTTCATTTCCCAAGGAGAAAAACACTCTGTAACAGTGAAATTTGACATTAATGCTTCTGAATTTTTGTTTATGTGTTTCTTTGATTTTTTGAGACAGGGTCTCAGTATATATGTAGCCCTGTCTGTGATGGAACTTTCTATGTAGGCCAAGCTGGACTCAAACTCACAAAGATTTGCCTGTCTCTGCCTCACAAGTGCTGAGATTAAAGGCATACACTCCCACCCCCAGCCTTGATTATTTTTATGAGACAGGGTCTCACTCTGTGCTCTGTGTAGTCTAGGCTGGCTTCCACCTTGAAATCCTCCTGCATCAAACTCCCAAGTGCTAGGATTACAGGTGTATACCACATCACCACATATAACTCTGAAGCAATCTTATTTATATATTTATGTATTTATGTATTTATTTATGTATTTATTTATTTATTTATTATTTTTTGGTCTTTTTGAGACAGGGTCTCCCCATAGCCCCAGCTGTCCTGGAACTCATTTTTATGGGGCTTTTGGATACTCTAACATTCCCCCCTCTGAAGAGGTAACCCTAAAATCTTTTAAGGATTAGATAAAAACTCCTAAATATTTTTGACATTTTTGGCCTTTGGAAGGGAGTAGGTTGCCAAGAGGCCCAAGGACATTGTGAGTTTTAGTCAAGAAACTGGCTGCTTTTCTTTGGGGTCTTTTTACCCTAACTGCCTAGTGAATTCCTACCTCTTATTCTTATCACACCATCCTCTGAAGAGGTTACCCAAATTGTCAATAGCAAATCGGGTGACAGACCACTCTGGCTTCTTCCATGCTGAACAGGGATGCAGGGTGAGGCAACTGGAGTACCCCTTTAGTGGGTCTATCTAAAAGACTCCCAAGTTACATAACTCTTAACTCTAGGGGGGAAAGAAAGTCCTTGAATCGTGAGTAGGAGATGTGAAGGAGAAGTAAAGGCAAGAGTAATTAGCATTACAAGTTCTAGACATGGAACCAGAAAAAGGTCAGAGCAGGGAAAATTTCAAATGTTCATATCAGAGTCCACTGGAATTTCTTCACAAGAGCTCTCAAAAGCATCCCTCTATTGGGTTCCTCCTTATTTTTCTTTTGTCCACCAAGGCTAGACTTAAGTCCTCTCCCATCCTTAATGTCCCACCATTTCCTTCCCCTCCCCTCTCTTCCTCTTTCCTTCACTCCCCTTCTGTCATGTTTCCTTTCACATTATTAATTTCCCAACATTCCCCTCATCTTCCCACCCTTTTCATTCCCCTTTTCATTTCCCACCCTTAATGTCCCACCATTCCCTTCCCTCCTCTTTACTACCTTTCCCATAATTAATGACCCATCATCTCCCTTCCTTTCCCTTTCCTTCTCTTCCCTCCCCTCCCGTCCTTTTTCATCCTTAATATTCCACCATTTCCTTCCCCTTCCCTCCTCTCCCTTTTCCTTTCCCATCATTAATATCCTACTATTTTTCTTCCCTTCCCTCTCTTTTCCTTTCCCATCCTTAATTTCACACCATTTCCCTTCCCT